GGGAATGGAATAGAGTTTGAATGTGATCACTTAGGCAAAATCCCTACTCTAATAGCCAGCAGATAGCAGGTGAGTACCAAGTGTTAGATGATGTCATCAGTAGTTCTAGAGGTGATTAACTGGTTCCCACCATGGAAGGATGAGGTTTCAAATCCCCCAGACTCCCCCACCTTTGCCACTTTCTGTCCCAGGACTGGCTCCCAAGCAGTGTAGATTAATGGAGGAAGTGGGCTTTATGGTCAAAAGGACTTTACCTTGAGAAAGTCCTTAACCTCCTTTAATATCATTTTCTTCAACTATAAAATGAGAATAATCGCACCTTCCTCATAGGAGCAGGGCAAAGATTACATATGTGTAAAAGCACGTGGCATGAAACAAGCGCTCTCTCTGCACTCGTGTCTGTTTCAGCGTATTCCACGGAGGCTTACCTCCTCACTGGACCCTGCAGCCCCTTCCCTCCTCTGCCTCGCCATCTTCGTTCACCCCACTTGTCTCTGCCTGCCTTCCCTCTCTTACCACCTCCATCTGCTCAGAAGCCCAGGTATCTGTCTAGCTTCTGTTCCATCTGAGAGCTTTTGTGACCCCTTCTATGACCACAGTGACTTTTCCCACCACCGAACTCATAAAGAATTTATCTTCTGTGGGGAAATAGGAGGTAGAAACCCAGAGGTCCTCAAGGTCCTTCTTCTGTGGCCACTGTTAGACTGATTAAAAACCAAGATGTTAGCAATGGCATACAGAAAGAACTTCAAAAGTTCTTTCTGGCCAAAGAGCAGCTTCTCAGTAGACTTTCCCCAAGCTCCCTGCACTGTGATCTCAGGATTGTCTGTTGAGAAGGATCACTTGTCCTCCCAAAAGTCAATTTCCCAATTCAGGAGTGTCTCATAATAGAAAGTGGCCAGTTGGTTCATTGATAAATTAAGGAGCACCCGGACTTCTATAATAGCACAGGGACAGGCTGGAGGGCCATTGGGCACATCAGCTTATGTTCATATGAGCAGCTGGAATTTCATTTTCCCATGGGCCTGGCTCCAGCTGCTTCTCCATCCATGCAGTGCAAAACAGATGGGTTTACTCCTCTCCGGTGTCTTGCCCATCACGATCTGACCTCCACTCACCTCTAGGCTCTTTTCTGACAGTCCTCTCACACCTCTTGCTATTTCCCAAGCCCACCTGCTTCTCATCTTCCATCTGCCTGCAATGTGGTTTCCTTTTTTTTTTTTTTGATAGGTTCTTGCTCTGTCACCGGGGCTAGAATGCAGTGGTGTCATCATAACTCACTGCAACCTCAATTTCCTGGGCTCCAGTATCCTGCCTCAGCCCCCCAGTAGTGATGATTGTAGGTGCAGTCCACCATACCCAGCTAATTTTTCTTCTTCTTCTTTTTTTTTTTTTCTTTTTTGTAGAGACAGGGTCTTGCTCTTGCTCAGTCTGGTCTTGAACTCCTGATCCTCCTATCTCAATGGAATGTGATTTTTTAACTCCTTTACCTAATGAATCCTTCTCATGCTTTAAAATCCAGCTCAAATTCCCCCTGAAAAACTTGGCTAACCTCTTTCAGAAACGGAGATTGAAGGAGAGAGAGTTCTGCTAAACTCCCAGATAGAGTTTGCGGCCCAGTTTTCTCATTCCTCCTTGGTGTCGAGCCTTTCACATAGCGTGTCCGTTATGTTCACATCCTTCTCCCCCACAGCACTATAAGTGTTATGAGGTCAAGGACGTAAAACCCCGAGGCTGCCCAGCATGGTGTCTGATAACTAACACATTTTATTTAATGAATTAATGAAAGGTAACAAAATAAGTGAATAAGTGAATGAATGAGCAATGATGTTTCTAGCAAAAGACAACATCCACCCATGCCTCCCATCCAAGTGGTACCCAGAAATTAGTCTTGGTAGGTAGGATTCACTGAGGGGACTACACAGGGTAACAGGGTCACATTTGCAAAAGGTAGACCCACATGGGGGCAGGAGAAAGGAGTTAAGTGCCTGGGTGCAAAGTAACAACTCCCAGAAAGCATTAAATCTGAGGGATTTTCCCTTTCTGAACTTCCTGTTTTCGCCCTTCTATATTTTATTATTACTATTAAATCATAGCTGTGTACATTAATGCAATCATGGAGTACAATGTGCTGGTTTTATATACAATTTGAAATATTTTCATCAAACCCGTTAACGTAGCCTTCACGGCATTTTCTTAGTTATGGTGTTAAGACATTTATATTCCACACTTAGGAAATTTCACATGTGCCCTTGTAAGATGCACCGTTACCCTTCTATAGTCTTGAACAGAGCTGATTTCTGATGAAATTTGGTAAATGATATTTTATGTAAAAAAAAAAAGTTCTAATTATTTTTTAATTTACGAATAGCTGTGATCCCAAGCCTGAAAAATCCCTCACCCAGTAACAGTATTTGCTCTTAGAAGCATTACCACCAAAATTATTCCCCTGGTAACAATTCAGCAGTTCACCTTCACCTATAGGCCTGGCACAGGTAATAAGGATGCCTGTTGGCCTGTTTATTTCCGGCTAATTTGGTCCCTTTACATCATGTGACCTTTAGTGACCTATATGCAATAGACATCATCAGGCTAGCACGTGCTTCACAGAGGTGTGCTAAGCATAAGTAACATGTCGATTGTTAAATCCAGGCAGAGTGAATCGTCATCGTGCATCCCGGGAAGCCTGTAATACTGCAAGTTAGAAGGAACTGAAGAGATTCTTCATGTTTGCCTTTCTCTGTAGGAAAATGCCTCACCTGGGTGCATCCTTTTCTGGGCATTCTGTACCAGGACATTTATGGAGTCAGAGAAAGGCACTAAAAATGTGGCCACACTGTTGAGCTCATATTTACTAACTCCTTAATACAGGCCAGAGTCCAAAGGATTTCACACGTTTTGTTTAATCTTCCCCCAAATCCTGGTGTTTTGTTGTTGTTTTGTTTTTTGACACAGATCTCACTCTGTCACCCTCGGTAGAGTGCTGTAACGTCACAGCTCACAGCAACCTCCAGCTCTTGGGCTTAGGTGATTCTCTTGCCTCAGCCTCCCAAGTAGCTGAGACTACAGGCGTGCCCCACAATGCCCAGCTACTTTTTGTTGCAGTCTGACCAGGGCCAGGTTTGAACCCGCCACCCTCAGTGCCCTACTCACTGGGCAACAGGCACTACCCTCCTGGTGGGTTTTTAATCCTGGTTCTGCAGATGAAAAGCCGGAAACACAGAGAAGCTGATAACTTACCCAAGGTCATGTGGCTTGTAGATGTCAGAGTAAGCTTTTTCTTTTAGTTGTCACAATAACTGTACTTATTTATGAATGCGTAATGATGCTTTGATACATACAATGTATAGTGATTAGATCAAGGTAATTAGCATATCTATCATCCTAAACATTGATCATTCCTTTGTGTTGGAAACATTCAATATTTTCTCTTCTAGCAATTTGAAACTGTATAGTATATCAGTGTTGATTAGAGTCATCCTACAGTACAGTGCTACAGGACATGACGTCTTCCTCTGATCTAGCTGGGCTTTTGTACCTTTAACAAATCTCTCTTCATTCCCCCCCTTTCTCTGTCCATTTCCAGCCTTTAGTATCCTCTGTTCTACTTTTTGCTTTTATGAGATCAACTTTCTCGCTTTTGCATATGAATGAGAACAGCATATCTAACTTTCTGTGCCTGGTTTATTTCACTTAACACAATGTCCTCTCGTTACAGTCATGTTGCTAAGAATGACACGGACTTCATTCCTTTTTATAGCTGAATGGTACCCCATTGCGTGTGTGCCTTCTTTATCTATTCATCTGTTGTTGAACACTTGGGTTGATTCCATATCTTGGCTATTGTGAGTGGTACTGCAATAAACATGGAGTTGTAGGTATCTCTTCAATATACTGATTTCCTTTCCTTTGGATATATGCCCAAAGGATCATATAATATATGGTAGTTCTAGTCATAGGTTTTGAGGATTCTCCAGACTGTCTCCCATAGCGCCTGTAATAGTTAACATCCCCACCAACAATATATGAGATTTCCTTTTCTTCCACAGCCTTACCATCATTTTTTTTTCTTTTTGTCTTTTTGATAATAGCTAAAGTAAGTTCTTGAAGTCAAGCCTGCCTGGCTCCAGAAACTAAAAGTGTAACCACTACCCTAGAATGGCTCTCTGGGCACATTCCCCCAAATTCAGCAGTTCTCAACCTGTGGGTCATGACCCCTTCGGACTGTATTAAAGGTTCACAACATTAGGAAGGTTGAGAACCACTGCCCTAATTTATTGTTCAAGCAGACTTTTTTCAAAAGGTGGAATTTCTAGATCGCTCTCATAAGATCCCACTCCCTTCGGCATTTTACACCCTACTCGTGTAATCTTCTCTTTTAAATAGAGAAAAAATAGTAATTTTCCAAAAACTGTGGTTTAAGTATTCACCATATTCAAGAACGGAAGCCTTTTCTGAATATTTTAAAATAATAAAATAAAAGGCCACTGGGGAAAAGAAGATTGCTTGTGTCCTCTTGAGGACATTCTTAGATGTTGGTGTAAATGTCTTTAGTGGGTGCAAAGTGACCCCTCTGTCACTGGAAACAGGAGCATCCTGTGTGCTGCTGTCATTCCCGTATTTCACCAGGCAACTCATCTGGTCCTCAACATATAGCAAGTGTGTCACCTACGTGAGACAGTATTAGAGAAAAGATGACTCAGTTCATGTTTTGAAGATGCTTAGTAAGCACAGGAGCTCACCCATTTGAGGTGCACCCAGACAGACTATAACATTAGGTCCACAAAAGCCTATCAGGCAAGAAGTCCAAAGGGTAAAAAAATCGCAATTTGTGTTATCGGAAAAGGCTTTCAAAGTCCAATTTCTACCCTTCAGCTCCTTTCATTAGTGCTTACTCACCAGTATTGGGGGGACCAAGTCAAGGGTAAAGTCAGGGTGAAAAGGCCATAAACCAACTACAGTCCAAAGAGCTAAAGGAACACAGGCTTTCCTGAGCACCCTCAGCGGCTGCCTCCTTTACTTGGCTCTTGGGTTCCTTCAAAAGGGACTCCTGTGCATTCACAGTGTCCTCAGCTTCTGGGTGGCTCAGGACACTTAATCCACCCGGAAAGCCTGGCCCCAAAGATGGATCCAGAAACTGGGCAAGGGAGACTTAACACAAGGGTAAACTGGTCCAGGCCTGGTCAAGTCAAGTCAGCTGGGCACTGCGGAGCCAGGCGCTGCAGGGAGAACAGGGGAGAGGAAGCCAGACCCTCTCCACTGACCGGTCACCTCCAAACTTTGCTAGGCATTACTCCCCTTTTAGGGATCAATGAAATAGGTTGTGGACACAGGAGACAAATAGGGGAGACATTCTCAAAAATTCCAAGGAGATTTTTAAGTGCTCCCAAGGCAACAAGGCGCAGCCCAGCCGGGTCTGTTGGGGCCTAGCGCGGGTAGCGGGGTAGGCGGGGCCTCGGTGGTAAGGGGAGAGACCTGTAAACGCCTGCCTTCCCAAAACCACTCTCTCTGCGACTCTGAGAAGCACCCAGCTGTTGTTTATCCCCCAGAGCAGCAAGCTGGTCATTTATCTCCTCATCCTTGATGTTATAAAGTAAAGAATGGTCTATTAAACTAAGTTTGGGCATCTATCTTCTCACAGCTGCCTCCTGGCCCGCACTCCCCGCAGGGGAGGCCGCGGGCGTGGGCTGCAGCCTCCCAGCCTCGGTCCCCTCCCTCTGTCCCCTCCCCTCTTCCCTCCCTCTCCCGCACCTCCTCCCCCTGGTTATTTGGGAGATTAGAGTTCATTAATTAAATCCTGTGCTTACATCGAACTGTAACATTATTCCAATCACATTTATCTTGCAGGCGGCAGAGGAGATGGCAGCCTCGCTGGAAACGCGCGGGGGAGCCTGAGCCGGCGGCCGGAGACGCACGACACGGCGCGCTCCCTCGCCAGCCACGCCGCCGCGCGGCCCCTCCATCTTCCTGCTCCGCTCCTGCCCTGCTCGCCCCTGCCTCGGGGGTCCCCGTGGCCACCCGGGCTCCCGCGGCCCTCCCGCGGCTTGCTCGCCCGGGTCCCCTCCTCCGCCCGCCACACACGCTCACGCGCGCGCGAACACACTCACACTCGCACACGCCAGCGAGCCGCTGGCCGCTTGATGGATCGATTTCCCCGCTTTCCCTGATCCCAGCCCAGCCCGGGATGAGAAATTGCAAAATGGCCCGGGTCGCCAGTGTGCTGGGACTGGTCATGCTCAGCGTCGCCCTGCTGATTTTATCGCTCATCAGCTACGTGTCCCTGAAGAAGGAGAACATCTTCACCACTCCCAAGTACGCCAGCCCCGGGGCGCCCCGAATGTACATGTTCCACGCGGGATTCCGGTGAGTGAGGGCCTGTTAGCGCGCCCTCGGGAATCCGGCTTAGGGTGTGTTGGGGGAGGCGGCGGGGGGGTGTTTTGGCTTCTCCAGACACTTTGGGGAAGATCACTGCGTAGTCCTTCCACTCATCTCTCTGCTTCTCGCTTCTTCCTCCCCTTTAATTTTTAACCCAAAGCCTACACAAGCCGTTATCCTAATCGATGTGATTGCATTTCTAGCATTCTTCCGCGGATTCCCTTCCCCCTTTGGAAATGGGGGAAGGGAGAAGAGGATGACAGTGGAGGGGAGGGCAGCGTGTGCGTTTGGGAGGGGGGCGGTGAACCGAGAGGTGGTCGGGCGGGAGGTGAGCGCCCTCCCGGTGCCCTGTCTGCAGACTCCCCCGCCCGGGGCTCTGGGCGGTGCGGGGCAATTTTATGGCGCAGGCGCCGGACTCGGGTCGCACCCTCTCCTCCCCCACCCACTCCCCATCAAAAGATGCGCTGGTGTATTCTCAGGAAGACCCTGGGGCGTTCTCCTTCGACCCCTTTTCTCGCTGCCACCCCCGCCTTCCCGGGATGTCAGTACTTCCCCCGCCCCCTGCGAGAAACGAGCCTCCTCTGGGCCGCCTCCGTCGCCCAGGTAGCTGTCCCCACGCGCGGGCCCAACTAGGAAGGCTCCAGGCGCAGCTCGGCTCAGCCCATCGCGAGCCCCGCCCCTACCTGTGACCCAAGGATCCCTCCCAGCACGGCCTCCCGACCGGCAGGTGGCAACTACAAACTGCTACCTGTGGTCCAAGCCGGGCCAGGAATGTGGGACCCGGAGAAAGCCCCACTGGGCTTCAGAGGGAAGCTGGCCGGCGGCCTCCGGGGGTCCCCACTCAAGGGACAAGCGAGGAGTGAAATGGGACCTAGGCTCGGGAAGGAAGAGGTTAAGACAGGAGCCACCGCCACCTTCCCCGGGGTATCCGGTTTCCTCTGCCCTTTCTCCAAAAATCAATTCTCTCAGGCCGCAGGGCGTCGCGTGTCCGGCTCCTGGCTACGCGGCCGTTGTCCGCGGTGCTGACTCCGGGTCCTCCCCGCGGATCAGGCGCCCGGTGCGCCCGGCTCCCGCCCTGCTCTCCGCATGACGGCCATTTTATGGGCTCTCCCGCACCGGGAGGATGGACAATGGAGATGGGTTTCCCAAATTCCCCTTATTTCTCCGGACGAGTGTGGGAGCAGAGGGCGGGTCCGATGAGAGGGGGCTCAGGGCTGAGTGCAACCCGCGCGCGTGTCGCCTGCCCCTCGGCCCCGCCGGCTGGACTCTTAATGGCTCCCTCGGCTCCCCGCAGCTGAGGCCAGCACGTTTGTCTGTTCCCATGCTCCTCTCCAGGTCACAATTTGCACTGAAGTTTCTAGACCCATCATTTGTGCCCATTACGAATTCTCTCACCCACGAACTCCAAGAGAAACCTTCTAAGTGGACATTTAATCGGACAGCGTTTTTACATCAAAGGTAGGATAGGAGGGAAAGACCCAAAAGGTGCTTTTGAATTGTGGAGCTAAAAGAAAAAAGAAAAGAAAAGAAAGAAAAAAAAAAAAAGAACGCACGAAAATTTAAAACAACAAAAATTTGCATACCCCACCCTCACCACCAAGTGTATGCGAATTGTTTTCTTGGCTTGCTTGCAGAAAGCAATGGTCAGGAACCCTCTCATACGCATGTAGTGCCCTCTCATAAGAAGGAAACATCAAGAGGACCAGTGTGAATAGAAAAAAAATATTTTCAGTATCTTCCCTAACTTGGGGCTGATTGAGCACCATAATTAAAGTTAACAAGTCTGCTTATACTGCCTGTGCTATCTATTAAGAAAAGAAAGAAAGAAAGGTTAGATTGGGTAAATGAGGTGAAGGCTATGTTGATTAGTAGGATGTAAGCACTCCAATTTGTACAAATAAGCAACACATTGAATCCCATAATGGCATAAATGTATTTATGATCTATGTACAAATGACTTAATAAAAAAAAAAGAAAAAGAAAGGGTAGTTGCAAAAAGACCACCCAATGCATTCTCATTCCCTCACTAAAAAAAAAAAAAAGAAAGAAAACTGAAACAAAATGGTATTGTTTTACTGGAACACAGAGAAAATACCATAACTGATCTCCACCAAATTATTGGTAAAAATGTTGGCTCAAATATATGTAAATGTTTAAGTAAGGTTTTTTTTAGGGGGGTGCCTATCTGTTTTCATTAAACCTTTACAGTTGTTAACTTACTATAAAGCTACCTAACTTCATTCTTACTAGTTGTATGTAGCAGCTTTATTTTATCCGTGTTTTATTTTGTTTTTTAGGTGGGGAAGGAAGGGTAATATTGGTTCAGATTGATTTTTTTCTTTCCTACCCAGTGATTCTGGTCTCCTCTTAGCAAACCTAAGAGTAGGTCTCTCATCACTCCTTCCTTCTTAGTGAGATTATTATGCTGCTACATGGGACGTGAGCCATCTAGTGTATTCATTAGAGGTGTGAATACTTATTCTACAACCCACTCTTATTTAGGGAGTTGCGATTTGGTCATAGCACTTCTAGTTGTTGCTGTCTCGCTCTCTCTCATTTTTAATTTTAATCTACTGGCAGAATTCAGTGGTAATGAGAAAATATAAGGAAAATATATTGTTTACTGGAAAAGTTGACATGTAGTCATATGATTATGATTAAAATTTTTAGAACACTTCATTTAATTAGAAATTATTTCATGAAAATTGATCTATTCTAAAACCTTAGAATTACTTTTAAAAATTTGGGGGAGATTTCAAGCCAGTATTGCTTTCATAAAACAACCCAGAACATTTTCATGAGTAGAACATCTTTTATCATTACCCCAAACATGTTTCCAGCTTAGCAAAAATGGTCTTCCCATGCTAGGTCATGTGACCCAAATGACCAGTCAAAAGAATGTATCCTCCTCGAAACTCCCCTCATTTCAATCCATTCATTATATAATATTTAATTTTTACCAGTATCATTTTAAACTTGCCTCACCTTTTTAACAGCTCATAAGAACAGTACTGATAACTTTGGAAATTTTGGATTGAAGATTTCAGTTTATGTTACTCTGTACTTTGAAGAATGAAGTAGTTTTTTAACAAAAATAAAACTCTAAGCAAAGTCATGATTTGAAAAACTTCCTGCTATTCAAAAGAAACAAGAGAGTCAATGTGATTAACACTGGAGACTCCAGCACCAAAGTAACATGTTGCTGGTCGCTCTTGAATATTTTAAATAGCTGAGACTTTAATAGAAGACAATTTAACTTAAAGTTCAATATGAAAGCAACTTGAAATTATTTCCAGTTATCACTCTTCCTTTATTTATGTTCTGAATTGTTATTTTATATTTTTTTTCAGGATTTACAACAGCTTCATTTTCTAAGGTCTAGATTTCTTCTACTAAATTGTGTTCTTATATATAATCAGGTAGAAAAATATTCTTGTTCCATTATTCAAAAGACCTTAATGAGATTATCATCTCACTTCTATTAAATATTCAACTATACCCACTGCTATTACCATCTTCATATTTTAATAATAGATGGTGCTGTACTGACTCATATCTATTTGGTTCTTATTTGGACACCAGTGATATGTGATATTCTTTGAACACTGCAGCGCAATAGCAAACAAGGAGACCCTAGTTACAAACTCCAAGCCACTAATGTTTGTGCATTAATGTGAGCTCTTTCAGGCCTGTATAAATTGTGTGGATTGTAAACTGTGTCTGATACAGTTTGGCCTATGCCTCCTGCCTGATCAAATATGTTCTTCACATAGAGCAGAAAACCAAGGAATGGCAACTAACACTGTAAGTTGCATTTGTAAGCCTCAAAGGATTACATTCAGAGCTTGACGGGAAGATTAAAACATGTTTGCAAATTCTGACGCAGTCCTCCCTTCAAAAACCACAATTATGAATGTGCAATTTTTCTTGGATTCAATGTGCCTAAGATTTTTGTCTGAATGAATGGGCAGCCTAAGCCATAAGATGGAAGATCAGTTCTTTTGAATGGAATGCATTTAATGAATTTCTTTTTATTTTAGGCAAGAAATTCTTCAGCATGTCGATGTAATAAAAAATTTTTCTTTGACCAAGAATAGTGTTCGGATTGGACAACTGATGCACTATGATTATTCCAGCCACAAATATGTTTTCTCTATTAGCAATAACTTCCGATCGCTCCTTCCAGACGTGTCACCCATTGTGAATAAGCATTATAATATTTGTGCTGTGGTTGGAAATAGTGGGATCCTGACAGGGAGCCAGTGTGGACAAGAAATAGATAAGTCAGATTTTGTTTTCCGTTGCAATTTCGCCCCTACGGAGGCTTTCCAAAGAGATGTTGGAAGGAAAACCAACCTTACCACCTTCAACCCCAGCATCCTGGAAAAATATTACAACAATCTTTTGACCATTCAGGACCGAAACAACTTTTTCCTCAGTTTAAAAAAGCTTGATGGGGTCATTCTTTGGATCCCTGCATTTTTCTTCCACACTTCAGCAACTGTTACCAGAACATTAGTTGACTTTTTTGTTGAACACAGAGGTCAGTTAAAGGTTCAATTGGCTTGGCCTGGAAATATAATGCAACATGTCAACAGGTGTGTATATTTTATTGCATTTTACTCTTACCCTACCAGATGGCAAATCAATATTGTAATCTCTTGGGGGAGGGAGCCATCCAATTAGTTAGTTGCTGTGGTTAGTTTAGTACTTTAGGGCAAACTGTTATCTTTCGTAATGAATGAATGAATCATTCTAGGTAAGAAGTTCAGTCTACCCCCAGCTGGTAACCAAGTGCCAAATGGAGGGATTGGTGTTTCATCAATCTCCCCTCTCTATTCCCTGCCCTCCCTTAGGAGTGAGCCTAAGAGCACTCATGTAAATCACCACATATCAAGAATTGTCTTTAAATGAATAGTTATATGCCAATAGAATTGTCTGATTAAATCAGACAAACCAAGTGGTTCTTTAAAGAAGATGCAGTTGGCTTACCTTTTCCCCTTTTATTTAATAGTTAGGTGTTTCATAGATGTCCAAGATTAGCAAACCCCTTAAATAACAGATTGTATAACCTGCCTTTATGATTTGAGATTTGAATGCAAAGATATATAAAAACTGTTCTTTGTGCTTGTTGTTATCCCTTGTGTTTTGATAGATTGACTAGAGATGCAATATTTTGGTCTTGTCTGGTGATTTTCAACTCTGGCTATACATTAGGATCACTCGGAGAACTTTAAACAGTGCTTTTTGATAGGCTCTACCTCAAGAGATCCTGATGCAGTTTTATCTGGTGGGGAGAGAAGTGGGGACCAGGAATTCAGTATTTTTTAGTCACTCCACAGATGATTCCAATATGCAGTCAGACTTGGGAGCCACTAATCCAGGGTATTTGATAAAGCAATATTAATTGTAATTTTTTTCCTTTAAATCCTTTGAAAAAATTGCCTCAACTCTGGTTTCCCCTGTATAAATAGCACCAGTATCTTAACATAGCCACAGATGTTATCATAAGTTGGAGTGGGTTCTGGGAGACCTGGTAAGCAGGGAATGCTGAAGACTTTTATTCCATCATAGGTTATTCCCATCCTGAAGCCTTCTCCGAATTTAAGATCTGTCTAGTTGACCTCTAGTAGGAGGAGGAATCCTAGTCTAATAAACTGGAATGTGTCTCAGTGGTAGAGGAATACCCTAATGTATCAACCAAACTGGAACTTTTTCTTTGAGACAAAGGAGACGCTATGAATAATTATAGCAGGGATAACAGCCATAAACTGGGGCTGCCCCAGCTTCCCGGGACATATGGTCACCGTTTGAAGAGGTGATGTAGCCTAACTCCTAAGTTTAAAGCAGCAAGGATTTATTTATCCAAAGACATGGCCCAGAATGGGCCGAACCAGACTTAGAAGCCAGGTCTCTGCCGGGCTGTCCACTGGTCTTTTGACCTCATCTTTTTGCTCTCATCCTGTTCAGTTTAAGTTCAGTTGTACCAAAAGGACTGTCAGAGTCAATCTGACTCCTGAGGTAAGAGTGTCGAAACCAAGACTAAACTTTTTAAATTTCAACTGGGAGGGAAAAGGTTCGCCTTTGATGCCTTCGGGTAGTGAGGAAGGAGCTGTATGTGCTTAGAAACTTCTGGAAACTGGCCTGTGCAACCCACCTGCCACCGAAGGCCCATGTTGTTTCCCAGCCACTTAGGCTTGAGCCAAATACATGGGTTCAGTGAAAACTGGAAGGAAAGACAGCCCATAGAAACCGGATTCGTGAACAATTTAATTATCTGCACGGCCAATGGTCCATACACCTCCCACACTCACCAAGAAGTCTCAAATATTTAACAGTGTAGGTAGGAAGGTCTCAGAATATTATCTAAATTTGAAAGGAATAATAACCATAATATAGCATTTTTTTTAAATTCAGAAAGTGTATAAATACATGTCTTAGGTCCTAGCATGCTGAAGATGGGCTTTGCGACCCCTAAAGGACAAAGAAGCAGGGAATACAATTTTTTACAAGAGGGTGGTAAAAAACAAGGCCCCCTAATCTTTCCAAACCCAGGAAAAAGAATTTGTTTCTGGGTTTGGGAAGGGCCATAACAGAGGAGGTCCCCTTAGGTTCAACAACCTCTTGCACCATATCCAAAGGCCCTTTGTGGAGGAGAGGCAGTCATTCTCATCCGTGGCCTGCTGTTGTGTCACCACTGAGGCAGAGCCAGCACTCTTTAGGAAGACCTAGAGGCAAGGCCAGCTTGAAATGTGGCCACCAGCGTGGCTGCAGAAGAACTCATGCTCAGAGGGGCCCAACACTTGGTTTAATAATACCTTGCTCTCACACTCTTGAAATTTTCAGTAATTTTTGAACAAAGAGTCCATATTTTTATTTCACACTGGGCCTCGCCAATTATGGAGCCAGTCATACCCAGAAGGGTTTGGGATTTTTTTTGTGGCTAATAGATAATTCAAAGCATGTACTAGTTTAAGTCACCATGGACAAGTCTCTTCCTCCCCCCACCCCCACCAGTCATATTGTCCCAGCTGATTGAAACCTTCCACACTGACCTCTGAACCCACATGTACTTATTGTTCTGCAGGTACTGGAAAAACAAACATTTGTCGCCCAAACGGCTGAGCACAGGTATTCTCATGTACACCCTTGCATCAGCTATATGTGAAGAGATCCACTTGTATGGATTTTGGCCTTTTGGATTTGACCCCAACACAAGGGAAGATCTTCCATACCATTATTATGACAAAAAAGGAACCAAATTTACCACCAAGTGGCAGGAGTCCCACCAGCTGCCCGCTGAGTTTCAGCTGCTGTACCGAATGCATGGGGAAGGGCTCACCAAGCTGACGCTGTCACACTGTGCCTAAGAACTCTGAATGGAAAGTGCCAAATGGCCATTTAAAAAGTGCCCCAAATCAAATTGAATAGTCTTCAGAATAGAACCCTAGAGAATGTCTTATAAGGACTGTCTGCCGCTTACAAGGAGCGATGTCTTTTTCCCTCTTTTTTGCACTACTCTTTTAAGAGTTTTAGCAGATTTTTAGCAGGATGGATGTGTTAAAGCCCCATGATGGAAACTTGATTGATAAAGGGACTGTTGCATTTGGAACTCTGCTGCTAACGAAATGGTTTGAAGTATTTTCATGTTTGTATTTTAATAATAAACTGCCTCCAATTTTTATGAGGACTAGAGCTATAGTTTCTGCAGCTCTGCTCAGATATAGTCCTTATAACAGAGGCCTCTGGCCAATTGAGGCAGCATCTCGGTTTTGCCAGTGGGATTAGACTCTTCAAAATGGAAACAAAAAACTGGTTTGCATATCTCACCTCTCTCTTTTTCTCTCTCTCTCTCTCCTATCTTCTCTCCCTCTCCCTGCACCCGTTCCCCCCTACTACCGTGGAGTTTAATAATTTGCTAGGAATCCTATTGAATTAGCTTGCTTATACGTATTGCATTTGTACTTGATGTGTTTAAGGCTCTGGGTAACTTTGATATTTCATGACCAACCAAGTAAATCATGATGGATTCACTCATGATTACTTTTATCAGAAATGCCTCTTAAGAAGTCCTCCCCAGAACACACAGTCCTTCTGCCGCAGGGCATGCTCTGTGTCGTGAGAGGCACACAATACAGTGCACCTTCCAAGATCACAAAGAAAGCCCAGGTCGTGAATGGCATTGTGTCTCTTGACATAGGTGCTGTTATGGCTAATCATAGCATTGTAGCCATATCTGCAAGGACATTCCAGCCTAGGTTTGGTGCCTCCCACAATCTCAACCCAAGCACTAGGCTGGCTGTTTTCTCAGAATATAGATGCAAGGTGTTAGCTTAACCCCTGGGGCACACAAAGGAAAAGGAAACAGTAGTTTTAGAGCTTGTTACAGAATCCTGTACACCCTGAAGTGGTGTAGCCATGTTACTCATTCAGAGCCTCTGAGAACCAGCAGGGTTAGGGTGGAGGAGAAGCTTTGAGGCTGGCCATGCCAGGCCCCCATGCGAACGGTGCCGAGTGGGGTCATTGGTCTACCACGACAAATCTAGAACCGTTTGTTGTCTTCAAGATAGGTGTAAACACTAGACATTCCCTCTTTCCATTGAAGTCAGATCTATATGCCTACAAATTAGGCGTTTCAAAAGAGATCATTGTGCAGGGGCAAGATTTGGTACGAAATAGCCTTTGGAATTTGAGATTGTATAGACCTGCCATGAAGAAATTAGTTGACCATTCTTGTTTTCATGATTTCATCCTTAGGAGTAGAAATCACATCATTTCCATCCCTGGCTTTTTACTGAGCAGCACTTTGTTCTTCCAATTCAGCCCAAAGTCTGGCCAAGTTGATGTTAAATTTTAATAAGAGTTTCTTTCTTCTTTCTTCTCTCTAAATGCAAGTCAAGCACATTTGTTATACAGTGGAGTGGAGTAGTTTGTTCTTTTCCAGAAATCTCATCTAGATTGCTTGCAATGTAACAAATACTATTTAAAAAAAATTTTTTTTGTGCTATAGTTCAATGATCAGCTCACTGCTCCTCCTTGAGAAGGTACAATCATGCCCAAAATTAAACCCAATACAATAAGGAAAGACACAGTCCTTGCTCACGTTCTTTCTGTTTTTAAAGCTGTCGTTTCTTTTCAGAATGCTCTGTAATTAGTGCAGCTTACAAAGATCCAGATATTAACTAGTGAAAGGAAAACCATTCCTGCTCATATGTGTTACCTGTTGTGACACACCTTACATCATATGAATGGCATTCATGCAAACAGATGGGAAGAAACAGGAAAAAATGCTCTGAAACGGGAAACATTAAAACAGCTCTATACTTGAAATGTTATAAAGGGAGGTATTAAAAACATTTTTTTTAGTTCAATAGTATAATTTAATGGGCATCAAAACCACACTGTGTCTGTTCCCTCCCACTTTAAAGAGGACACTGCTGCCACTCACGCCCTGTGAGACTGATACCTGACAGAAGTGTTTAGTTGGCTGTTCTTAAAGCACTTAGTTCATTTGGTTACAGCTAAGTGATATTAATGCCAGAATTACACGGGCCAGATTCTGACTCTGGAGTTTTAATCCCACTGTGCCCATTTGTTTTAACTAAATATAAATGCATAGACACTTTGAACTGGGAAGGTTAAAAGAGCAAAAGACCAGAATGACTAAAAACAGATAAGTGTTTTATGGTAGACTATTTAAATTTTATCTCATCATAATGCCAAGACTTCTGGTTTGTTTTTTAAGTTCAGGGAGGTTTGGAAAAAATCTCACTGCACTCTTGGCTGCATCTTAAACTTAAGAGTGGGAGGACTTTTCCACCCCCATCACCATGTCATCTGTCACTTTAACAAGAACTCAAAATGGTGAGGAAAAGGACTTGTCTCTAGAAGGGCTCAGAGATCAGGCTTATCCCTGCCTATAGGAAATGATCCCAAAAGATCACCTTTCCCTTTTCAAGGAAAGCAGCTTCCAGCTGATTTTATTTTTATTTTTAAAGACTGTTTCATAAACCACTTTCAGATCAAGAGAGTTGTAGGTCCCAAGTGTCCTGATTAGAAGGGCTCTCCTATGGCTCCCAGGTTTGTGTAGTCAAGTGCAGTGAACTGGGCAGACAGGACCATTGGGTCTTCCCTCTTGACTTAGCTACGGATACATGCCCCTGGCTTTTGCATTGACCTCGCTTTGTTGATTCCTAGACTAATTACATCCTTGTGTCAGAACTTTCTCCTTTTTGGGATACGCACAGCAGAGTCAACCTTCAGCTACTGGAATAAATTTCACCAGAAAGCCCCTAAGGCTGTCTACATTTGACACCAACACAAATGACCAATTAAGTTGCAGAGGAAGAAGAAAACCCCACAGACATTTAGCAACCTGCTTAAGGCTAGACCTCGGTTTTCGTCAGCTGTTCTGAGTGTCATATGCAGACGGGTAGATCCAAGGGAGACAGAATAAAAAGGTAGTATCTCACCCTCACCAAAAAATTCTTTCCAGTATTTGATTATTAAAATGTCTATGGTTCCTCTGCCTTGTGTCTGTGTCCTAAGTGTCCTTGACTATTGTAAAAGTGCTGTATGTTTAGTAGTGTTCTGTGCCTAGCAGTGCTGACTATAACTGCTGTACCATCTGTCTGTGACCTTAATATCAGGCACCTGACCGTGGGACTGCCAGCAAGGACCTACAGAAGAAGACCTCCTACCCCCAGGGTCCTTGTGCCTGGGCCACCAGTTTTCCAAGACTGTGAGTGCCAAGAAAAGCCTACTCTAGGAGGCAGGCCAAGGCATAGAAGAACATTTCTTCTGACTTGGGGCAAGGCAGTAATTATTAGACAAAGTCAGATAACAAAGTGGTATTGACCTGAGGTCAAAGAAAGCAGAGACTCATTGTAGAATGCTAGTTCACTGGCAATGGAAGAGGCTTTGAGCTTCTCCAGTCCTGATTCTTGACTTCACAAATGAGAAAATGGAGAAACAGGCTAAGTGATTTGCCCAAGACTGCAGGTAATTAGTGGAGAAATTATGCCTCCTTCCCTAATACTTTTTAGCCTTATCAGCATCTAATAAAGATGGGCTCACAGGGAAAGTAATTTCAGCCTGGAATCTGCAAGGCATATAAGATAAGTTAGAAAGTATATGAGGGAAGGAAAAAGATTCTCCCTCCCCACACCAAAGAAGACAGAAGATGCTTGCATCAGTATACAGCAGTTCACTAGTAAGCACCCACATTTTCCCCTGAGATGGGGAAAAAAAACAAAAACTTGGTAAATCATATTTTGATAAATAACAATTCAGTACTGATGGTTCACGGTTGACAGCTGGAATCTTATCCAATAATCTATTCATCTTAATAAACCCTTGTTTGAGTAATATGTATGCATAATTTAGAAGCTGAAGGCTGAAAATGGTTATGCACTTCTCCATATGTATAATTTTCACCAGCAGTCCCTTGAGTTCAGAAATGCCTTCCATATTATAAGTCATTTCAACAGCAGCCTCTAGCTTACTGTGTTCAGTTCAACATGCAGAGAAGGTATACAAATCTGTAATGAATAACTTTGGTGGATCTTCATGTGCAAAATGACAAAATGAGCAATTTTCTGTTTAACTCTGGACCTTTAGATTTGGTTTTTTCCCATAATTGTTTGAATATACTGGGGAAAAGTTTCTGTTTAAGCCTCTATTGCTCCCTGAGTGTGTGGAACTGGCCTTCTGCTTACAAGGAGTGTCAGGACTATGTGTCCGAAGAGCCCAGATGAAGCTGTCTGGGTGCTGGGGACTGAGGGTGCCTTCCCCAGCTGACTGACCTGGCTGATCTCTGTGGTCCAATTAATCCAGGCCATAAATGAGTTGATATCAAGCTACCAAAATGACTCATTATGCCTCTCTCACTGTCTGATTGCTTTGCCACATAGATAGGACATTTGAAATGAGAAACATTTTAGAATGTCATTAATGTATTATGCAGTATTTCTGAATATTTATTTTTATTGTGATGACTTTATGATTGAAGACGTGTTTGAATAGATGTTTCTATCCTCAGTGAAGCGCATTCTCTTGTTGTTAATGACATTGGAATCACAATGATGAACCTGTCACAGATTAACTCCAATTTTAGATTCCAGTGGGGTGCTGGGGTGAGGGCCTGGATTATGTGCTGATTCTCCAGCAGACAAAGCTGCATGAAATTAAGGAACTCTTCAAAATACAATTCTTGCTCCTCCAGACCTTTGACTCATCCTGTCCTGGGATGAGTGAAGTTTACAGAGATTCCCAAATGAGTCTGATGTGGTCAGCATTTGGAATCCAATAATAATACAGAGCAGAGTCGTGTGTGCCAGTTTGAACAAAGCGGCTAAATGCTTGTCCCTCCTCATGCAGTTAGTGCCAGCAGTTCCTCAGAGTTATCATGACACAGGGCAATAGAGGCACAATCTTAGTGATGTGACCACTCAACTGTGTGGGCTGAATTGACCAGTCTCTGATTTGTAGTAAAGAGTAACTGGCCAATGTAGCCTGAAGACAAAGTGAGGAGCACAGCTTTAATGAGCTTCACCCCAAAGCCAGCTCTTTACATTCCACTCTTTATACTTTAAACTAAGAGGCAAATCTCAGGTCATTCATCTTTATAAATGGAGAGATTGAAAAAGAGGGAAGTTAAATGATTCATTTAGCTTCGATTTGGAAGTCACTTCTAGAGCTTAAAATACTTCTCAAGGGGTCTGATTTCACAATCGCCAGGTAATGCCCAAAATGCCAAGGTCTTCAGGCTAAAGTGAAACAAACCAAAAAAGGAAATTCAAGAGGCTAAAAATTCTAAGACCAACCAATCTAAGAGAAGTGGCCAGTTACCACTAGCGTGCCTTATAGGATAAGGGGCCACCACCCTAATGAAGTTTTGGCCAGGCTTGTGTGTATGGCTGTGCACACGTGAATCCTTTATGCATCAGAGATACTAAAGGGCTCATTTGATTTCTCTTCTGATTTAGGAACAGGTTTAGCTTTTGGTGGGCTGATAAATGTCCCAGCCAGCTCTGGGAGACTAAGACCCTGATTTGTAGCACCTACCAATTTCCATGGTGTAAATATTCTCAGCCAATTTCAAACTGCGAACTTAAACTCAGCCAGCTGGAAATGTAACAGTGTGTTTTCGACAGCCAGTAAGAGTGGGTCCCCGCACAACATGAGCTGGCTGTAGCACAGCACTGCCTGGAAGTGTTCTGAGTCAATGAGTACCAAATAAGAGAGGCCAGCAGTGGCTTTGAGGGACTCCTAAGGACCCTCTTCTCCCAGGAGGGTATTTCCACAAGGTCCTATCCATGTGACTCTTAGTAACCTTTCAACAGACTCCTCAGTACCTTGGAAGAGTACCAGCCCTGGTTTTTCTAATTTCAAAGGGTGACTTCGAATTAATGACTGGTTAAAACCATGTTTGGCTGATCTTTTGATTTTTTTATCTTATAGTTGATCCTATGTTTCCTCTGTAGTTTTCCTGTAGTTTTTCCCCCTCCTCATCCTTCTGACACAGCAAAAAATCCACAGGCATCTGTAAAATAGTGCCTGCAAAGCCAGAATGGAGAACAAGACGCCTATTACACTAACCTGGCCCCACTGGAGAGGTTCTGTGGTTCAGAGGTTTCTGCTCCCCCAGGGGACACCCATCTAAGCTCACAGCCAGTGCTTGAGTATGCATTCTGCTGGGGCTCCTTTGCCCTCAGAAAAGTTCCTAATAATCAAGAAACACCACTGAATAGAACTATCTCTGG